TGTGTCGCTGAGTTGCAGTTGGATGAAGCAAGACACATTCAGGCCACCGACCCGAATCCAGATTTTCTGAAGAAAACAGGCACTGTCTAGGGCGTTAACAAATCTAAACTATCAGGTTCATCTCAATCCTCCACAAAAGAGGAGGAGGCAATCGACGCTCGTAAAAGTATGTGCGAATACTTTGGGAAATAATGTCAGAGGTGTCTCGGGTGTCTCGGATGGAGCGTTCGGGTATTGCATGTAACTCTCAGCAAGTGATGGGAAAGATTGCCAGACGAACTCGGGATTGAACAGCGACGTACTCCTCAGAGGCCTGTGCTGAGCGGCAAACAGTTTAACACTCCGAGGGCGATCATCTCTACAAGAGTATCGTTATATGCAATATCTCGTTTGGGCCACTAATACGCTACATGTCGTGTAATACACCGCAACACATCATGCTACATGCCAAAGCACTGCTCAGAACAAAACTAAAACCAGCATTCATATTGAGGAGGTGAACCTGAGAGTCACAGTAAAGAGAAGAATGCGTGGCAATAGTACTCACATCAGCTACACTCGAGATCTCTTCTCCTCATCACTGAGCATGCTCAGACGGAGCTTAATTGGCATGTTCTCTGAACTTTGTGGGGCTCGTAGCATTTACGTCAAAATGCGGCGGCTCCCTGCCATCCTTAGCCGACCGGGTATCCGACTCGAATTCACCGGCAGGCCGAGGGGGATCACCGGCGCCACCCCAAACCTCTTCTTCACGACTCATCAGATTCGCCTTGGGCTCTTCAGGTACGTCGTCTTCAGAGGATATGTTCTCCTCGGAGTCTTCCTTAGCCACCGCAGACTCCTCCGAACCGTCCGCCGGGAGAGTATCGTCTTCAGCCGGTTTGGCGGCTTCTACTGCCGGGGACGGTTGACTCGACTCTTCCTGCCCAACCCCCTCCGTGTCACTAGAAGCGATCGCGTCGTTCGTCGCTTCCACGAGAATATCGTTATCGTCATCATTTTCTGCTCTTGTAGTCTCGTCTGCACCTTCAGGGTTGCCGTCGACTCCAACTGACTCGCGTTCACCATTCTTAGCGGGCGTATCTCCCGCGACAGACTCGTCAGCAATAGGGGGAATTTCAGGGTTTTCACCAGGTTCACTATCCTCAATGCCAGGAGTGGCGACTACTTCTGTTCGCTCCTTCTCCCTGTTCAAATCAGCAAGTGCAGACCCCGATGCGCCCCCTTTCTCGGTAGTAGCTTGTTCCTCAACGGCCACTCCAACGGCTTGAGGCGGCTTTTCAGTGTTATCGACATCAGTCTCGACAGGAGACCTCTCTGTGTCGTTCACTGCTGCGGTGTGCGCATCGCCAGCGACAGAAGATGATTGAGATCCGATGACGCCGCCCTCATCAGCTCCCGTTTTCTGAGCCTCTTCGGCACCAATCGACTCGTTGTCAGCATCACTGGACGCATCCCCCGGCCCATGCGTGTGAGCGTCAGCGGTAGAAGTGTGAGCTTCTGAGATAGACTGCAGATGGTCAGTCGTGATGGCTGTTGCTTGCACAGCGTTAGGGCCCCCTCCATCCCAACTCTCACTGTCCTCGTCGTAATCGTGCTTTTCATCAGCAGTGTTCTTTCCCTTCGCGACTCGCGACTTCGAAGCTAGGGCGGCTTTCTGTGCTGATCGACCGCTTGTCTTGCCCGTTCTCCGCGTAGCCGTAGGTAGCGTCACCGATCCATCGTCGTCTCTTTTTGCTTTCGACGATTTACCGTCGCTTCCCTTCAACCCTTGGGCCTCAACATCAGCAGACTCAACATGTCCATGCACAGAAACGTCTGACTCTCCTTCCAGTTCACGACTCTCTGAATGCCCACTTCCGGCATCTGCTTTCCTCACAGTGCGTCTCGAAGATTCATCCCCGCGATTATGCATGACCATCTCAGAGGTCTTTTGCTGACGTCGAGCATCGTATGGCGAGCGGCGTTGAATAGGTTTCGATGGAGCTCCGTAGATCTCGCGAGCGGATAGTTGAGAGTATCCAGAGGCTATCGCCGACCCGTGCATGCCGTCGATTCCCTTCATCGGTCGGGGCAGTCTTAGAGACGGCGAGGGCCTTCGTGGGATGGTAGCCATTCCCATACGTTGTCGTTGACGGTGAATTGCTGCGGCCTTCTCCACTCTACCCGAAGTCGGCCGTCCACCGAATAGTCTGGTGAAGGTGATTGGCCCTCCAACTTGACGCCGTGTCTTCTTATTGTGATCGAAGCGGCGACAATACAGACTCATCGGCCGTTTCCTAAGCTCGATCAAGAGCTCATCGAGGTCCATACGGTCGCACGCCT